GGAGAAGAACACAATCGTCACCTCCTACAACAGGAACTTCACGGGTCGCAATGACGCGAACCCCGAGACCCATGCCTTCGTCACATCCCCAGAGGTGAGATCGCCCAGCTGCGCATGAGCCTGGGACGGCCTCTGGGGGCTCCTGGCGGGTCAGAGGAGGAGGCAGGAGGAGATGGGGACTGGGGCCAGGGTTGACATCGCAGGGCAGGGGTCATCCAGGTGGAGCCAGGAGCCACAGGTCTTCCCAGCCCCAGGCGCATGCTTGGTGCTTCCTGCCTGGGGCTCCCTGGGTCGTGGGATTATGAGATATTTATTTAGTGGTTTGTGCTTATGAGCATGGAATTTGGAATCTCACTCACTGCCTAGGACACATCCCAGCCCTGCCTCTAACTCGCTGTATGAGCATGGCCAAGTCACCTACCTTCTCTGTGTCCCCATAATCCTTGGGATTACCTGGGAAAGTGTGTGGGACACATGCAGTTTCTGACTCCAGGTGGGAGTTCCACAAACTCGAGGCCTTGCCATTGTTCCCGTGGCCAGAACCAGCCTTGCTCTTGGCGGTATTCGGCCCTGGCCGTGACTGGCACATGGCCAGGCTCTCTTGACTTGGTTGTTTACCTGCGTGTTCTACAAATACTTCTTGCTAAATGGATGGAAGAATGGCCCCTTCTATGTTTTTAGCGTCCTCCGCACTGAGGGGCTTTGCATCACAGCGGCACTTCTGCGCCAGGCGCCTGCTCCCTCCAGGACAGCTGTGAGGACAGAGGACAGCACTGCCGGCCTGGCCCTGCCGGGATGGGCGAGGCCGCACTGCCCTTGGCTTCCTGAGTCCTCTGCAGTCCCAAGGCCCCGTGGTCCCAAAGATCGTCCTGCAGCTCTGGCCTCTGAGGAACACAGGGGTCTGGGGAGAACATGGAAATTTCCTGGGTTCCTGTTTCAGTTTTGGTCTAGGCTTCTGGTGGGTGCAGGAGACAGGAGTGTCGACTGGTGCTGACCAACATACTGGCCACCTCCATTTCAGATTGTCACAGCCCTGGCCATTGCGGGAACCCTCAAGTTCAACCCCGAGACCGACTACCTGACGGGCACGGATGGCAAGAAGTTCAAGCTGGAGGCTCCGGATGCAGATGAGCTTCCCAAAGGGGTGAGCGCCCGTGCCCCCTGGGGGCTCTGCTGGTTGCTGTGTGGCCACAGCACTTCCTTCTCAACCTCACAGCACCTCCTGTGCAGGCAGGGAGGACGCTGCTAGTGAGAAGGGAGCAGCTCTGTTCCCTGGGAAGGGAGGTGGGGCCCGGGGAAACTTGCCTTCTGAGAGTCCGTCCTTGTGGGAACTGAGGACTCAGCACCCCACACATCCCCATCCCCTGCTGCAGGAGTTTGACCCAGGGCAGGACACCTACCAGCACCCCCCCAAGGACAGCAGCGGGCAGCACGTGGACGTGAGCCCCACCAGCCAGCGCCTGCAGCTCCTGGAGCCTTTTGACAAGTGGGATGGCAAGGACCTGGAGGACCTGCAGATCCTCATCAAGGTCAGCAGCACGGGGATGGCATGACAGCCCCACCCTGCCAGGGCCCCCCGTCCCCTGAGCATCGGGAAGGGCCATGAACCTGGAGGAAGTGAGCGAACAGTCAAGTCGCAGGTGGGAGATGAAAGGGAGGTTTGGCTGCAGAGCAGAGAGGGTAGCGCAGTCCAGCGTTCCCCTTCTCTGTGGCCCTGAACTGGGCAGAGCTAGATCTGGCCGGCCTCCATCTGGGGCCCTCAGCCATCCGGCAGCCGCTGATCAGAGCCACCTCCAGCGGGTGTGGACAGGTGAGTACAGCTTAGGCTGGGCTGGGACGGTGTGTGTGATTGCACAGCAGGCTCCACACCTGGCATGTCCACACAGGCTCTGGAAGCTATGGATGACTCCTGCCCCCACAGTTGCACACCCGTGGATATGGGATGGCCTGTGTTTGGCACCAACCAAAAACAAGCCTTTTTGGTGTGGTCAGAGGCCTCCAATCTGTGTCAGATATTAATTTATGCTTTTTATTAAGGGGTCTCCAGGCACCCCTATGACAGAAAAGACTAATCAGTCATCAGCCAGGACCCAGGCATGTCCTGGGCTCCTGTGTCCGGCATGAGATCGGTGGCTGATCTTGCAGCCAAGGCCTGAAGGGTGAGCGAACATTGACCTGTCCCCACTTTGGGTGACCTGCACCATAAGGGAGACTGAGCAGCCAGAGGCCTTTGAGAGGATGAGTGATGGGCTGGCCGGAGCCCATGTGGCCTGAGGGTGGAAGCACCAGGACCACAGAACACGTATCTAAAACCTTGCCTGCCTCTCACTCCTCTGTCACCCGTCCTGGGCCCCAGAGCCTGCTGCCTGCCTCTGGAGGGCTTGTCATCCACCCCTCCAGGGCCATGCCTTGACCTCTGTCCTCTCTACTCACCACCCAAGGTCAAAGGGAAGTGTACCACTGACCACATCTCGGCTGCTGGCCCCTGGCTCAAGTTCCGTGGGCACTTGGACAACATCTCCAACAACCTGCTCATTGGTGCCATCAACATTGAAAATGGCAAGGCCAACTCCGTGCGCAATGCCGTCACTCAGGAGTTTGGCCCCGTCCCTGACACTGCCCGCTACTACAAGGTGGGTCAGAGTTGATGGGGGCGGGCAGTGCCAGTCGCCACTCCTGAAGGGGCCCGGAAGGCAGGTGCAGGGAGGACATTAGGGGAATGGAAACTAGGAAGGACGCCGGCTGAGCCCAGAGGGGACTGCTGTGGAAGGAAGGAGAGGCCTGCGGCCCCTCCCTGTGGCTGAGAGGGCATGAGGCCCAGGTCCGGTGGTACAGCCGGGTCCCTGCACCAGGAGTTAGTGAGAGCAGTGCTCAGGAGATATCTGGCCCTAGACCAAGACGAGGAAGGGGGCCGGCTCGGGAAGTCAGAGGCCAACAGGCTCAGAGAGGGGGCTACACGGGGCCTCCCAGTGAGCAGGCAGAGAGGTCTGAGGCCAGTGCCAGGGTCTGAGGTGACTGGACTTGTTCTGCTTTGAGAAACGGACGGAACAAGTCCTGGCCCAGCTGGGTGAGGGGACTCTGGCACCCCCTGGTGGCTGGATGGAGCAGAGGGTGCTCCCAGGAAGGGGGCACCTTGAGCTTCACAGATGCATCTTGGGTGGGGCCCCGGAGGCCGTCCCTGTCTCACCCCCACCTCCCTCCCCACACACCTGCCTCCCTGCCAAGCACCAATGGGTGGGTTCTGTCTTCTGTGCCACTGCAGACAGCCAGGCGCCTCCATCCCCTCGGGGCCTCGTTTGGGTCTCATTCACCCAGGCTTCACTTGCCCTTTGGCAGCAGGTGAGGAAGGGCCCCTCCAGCCCCTTTACCGGGAGCCTCAGGATGCCCAGGCGCCAGGTGGGTGAGGCCAGGCAGGTGGGGACTGCCTTGTAACCTCACCCCCGCTTGCCTGACAGAAACATGGCATCAGGTGGGTGGTGATCGGAGACGAGAACTACGGCGAGGGCTCGAGCCGGGAGCATGCAGCTCTGGAGCCTCGCCACCTTGGGGCCCGGGCCATCATCACCAAGAGCTTTGCCAGGATCCACGGTGAGCTGGAGTCTGCACCCAGGCCATCTTCATCCCATCCCTAGTGACCAAGGTCACTCGCCCTGCCCGTGGCTGAGTTGGGCCTGATTCTAGGCTATCTCCACTGCAGCCCACAGGCCCGTCAGCCTCTCGCCCCTTCTTAGGCTCATACAATGCACATCTGATGCTCAGCTTCCTGGCTTCCCGCAGGCCCTGCTTCCAGGCTTGTAGATCTGAGCCGCTGAGATCCAGGGCACGTGCCAGAGGGTTCTTTTTGATCATGAATGTGCAGCAGGAAGGCCTCGCAGACCTCAGCACCAGCGCACACTTGCTTGGGGCGCCCCTAGTGAAAGGGAGCAGACCAGGGCCCTGTAGTCAATGCCCGGGCATTGTCCCAGGCAGCAGGATTGGGGCAACTCCCAGAGCCCCAGATGGGTTCAGAAAATGAAGCTCTCCAGGCTGGTCAGGCCCCCTGATGACCGAATGCCACCTGCCTTCCAGAGACCAACCTGAAGAAACAGGGCCTGCTGCCCCTGACCTTCGCGGACCCAGCCGACTACAACAAGATTCACCCTGTGGACAAGCTGACCATTCAAGGCCTAAAGGACTTCACCCCTGGCAAGGTTAGGAGGCCGGATCCCCCTGAGGGGGTGGGGTGAGGGGCAGCCACCTTGTTTCCCCTCCTGCACTGGTCCCAGGGTAGCTTCTCCCAGGAGGCTTCATTTCAGCTGGAAAGACCCCCAGTTATCCAGGTGGCCCCACAGAGAAAGGGAAGCGCCTTCCCAGAGTTGGGGGTTGGGGTCAGCCCAGGGCCCTCCCACCTCCTCAACCTCCCTTTACTCACCAGGACTTGACACTCAGGGGACAGCCCACCCACTGCAGGACCCTCTGGGCCCCAGGAATCCCCTGTAGGTGCCATCTGGGTCTAACCTGGGCCATGAGGCACAGACTGGCCTAGGATTTGGTTTGCCTGCTGACCTCCTAGGTCCCCAGGCAGTGCCTGGCCTCCCTGACCCCCTGCAGGACCAAGGGCACGTAGTACCCACCACTTCCACCCACACCCACCTTCTCCTTGCAGCCCCTGAAGTGCATCATCAAGCACCCCAACGGGACCCAGGAGACCATCCTCCTGAACCACACCTTCAACGAGACGCAGATCGAGTGGTTCCGCGCCGGCAGTGCCCTCAACAGAATGAAGGAGCTGCAGCAGTGAGGGCAATGCCGCCCCGCCCCAGCGCTGGCGTCAAGTTCAGCCCCACGTGCGCCATCAGCGGATCCGATGCATCCAGTCATGGCTTCTTATTCCAAGATGGTGTGACCAGACATGCTTCCTGCTCCCTGCTCAGCCCACGGAGTGACTGTGGTTGTGGTGGGGGGGGTTCTTAAAATAACTTTTTCGCCCCTGTCTTCCTATTTTTAGTTTGGTTCAGATCTTAAGCAGATCCATGCAACTGTATTTATTTTTGATGACAACACTCCCATCTAAAGTTTTTCTCCTGCCTGATCATTTCGTTGGCTGAAGGATTCTAGAGAACCTTTTGTTCTTGCAAGGAAAACAAGAATCCAAAACCAGTGACTGTTCTATGAGTAAGTGATTGGTGTCTGTGCCGTTTGTTATCAGCTTCAGGGTCCAGGAAGGGTCTTTTCAGTCAAGGTCAGTGGAGGCCCGACAGCCACAGCCACAGTTGGATCCATCACTGCGGTGAAGGAGACCTGAGGTGTGGCAGAAATGTTCTGTCACCTCCCACCCCACCCCACCTGCAGAGCAGCCCTGCCCCCCATGTTCCTGTAGCTTCCCTGCTGGGCCAGAATTGAGTCTCCCAGAGAGTGGCCTTCACTCTCCATCTTCCCTGGGCACTGATATGCCAGGCATGGCCTCATGTAGCCCTCTAAACACTGAGGGTGGGCACAATAGCAGATGAGGCCATCTGGAAAAGGAGTGGCATCAGCTGACACCACCAGCCAGCACCTCCACACTTGGGGGTCCTGTGAGAGCCGAAGAGGCCAGGGCAGGAGGCAGGTTCCATGGAGGCCCCATCACCAGGACAAAACTTACTGTAAGGCAAGCGTCCTGGTGTCGGCAGAGGGGCAGGAGGAACCCTGCGAAGCCATGCTGCTGAAGAAACGCTGTGGGCCCAGAGCTGGGGTGTTACCAGCAGTCCCACAAGGTGCTCATGGCAATAGCTGAGATCTGAGGGACAGGTGGTCCCAGGTTTGCTGCTGTCTTGTATCATGAATTTTGGGTAGGGGGTACCAGCAAAGCCCAGAGCCTCCACTGTTTTGATCAGGAACTGGTCTCCTAGAGCTCAGGGGCTACCCCACCTTTTTCCACAAGCTGGTGGGAAGGTGCCTCCCCTTCATGCCCACTCAATTCCAACTGGCAGCTTCCAGTGCCCAAAGCAGCCACCCCAGGCAAGCCAGCCTTACTCCCTATGTACTTTATGGCTCCACTAGGCTCGGCCAGCCTGGGGCAGCCCAGAGCTCACAGCCCCCACGTGCTGCCACCTGGTGGGGGTTGGGGGAGCCCATCTCTGCGGTAAGAGAGGCCATGCTGTCCCAGCGACAGGAACTGAGTGACCTCAGATCATAACACTGGCCATTGAGACAAGGGTGGCCCCTTCCCTTCTGATGCTGCCATTGTTTATTAAATGGCTTTGCTGTCACTGAAAGCAGCGACTTGAGAAGCTCCGGGGGGAGGAGCAGGGCCTAGATGGTGGAGGAGGGGGGCAAGCTGGTGGGCACTCCTGGCCCTGCCCCACTGTCCAGCTCGAGACACATTAGCCTCAGCTGCTGTTAGCATCAGCCTTAGCTGCTCTTGTCTTCACAGACTGCCGTAAGCACCTTCCTGCAAGCTGGTAGGGTCCACTGTCCAGCCCCAGGGCTAGTTGCTGGTCCACCAGGAGAGAAGGCCCAGGCCTGGCTCACTGATGGATCCCTGCCAGGGATAGAGAAAGAACACGCACATTTCACTGACACGCTGGCTTGAACCAACCTGGACGGGAGGTGAGGGGAGCCCAGCAGGCCCAGCACAGGCAAAGTGGAGGAGCAGCACACGGCAGCCCAGAGGCTCTGGGGAGACGTGGGAGCCACAGCAGTGCTCCTGATGGGCACGCAGCAAGCAGGGCGCAGACCCCTCTCCAGGGACCCCAGGCCCTGACAGGGTCAGGGACCCTTCCTCACCCTCAGGCCTGCCCTCCAGGGCCACCCAGGTTCTAACTGGCAGGAAGGCTGAGCAAACATGAGGCCCATGCTCCAGACACATCCAACAGGGAGCAGCCTTGAGGGCCACTCTTCCCTGGAGCCCTCCCTTTTATTTCACTGTTTTAATGCTGCTCCTACAGGGAGCCCTACCTATTTATTTATTTATTTATTTATTTATTTTTATTTTTTGAATCGGAGTCTCGCACTGTCACCTGAGCTGGAGTGCAATGGCGCGATCCCGGCTCACTGCAACCTCTGCCTCCCGGGTTCATGCCATTCTCCTGCCTCAGCCTCCCCAGAAGGTGGGACTACAGGTGCCTGCCACCCACACCCAGCTAATCTTTTGTAGTTTTAGTAGAGATGGGGTTTCACTATGTTAGCCAGGATGGTCTTGATCTCCTGACCTTGTGATCCACAAGCCTCGGCCTCCCAAAGTGCTGGGATTACAGGCATGAGCCACTGCGCTCAGCAGTCCTACCTTTAATCTCAGGGCTTTGATCTCTCCCAAACCCCTTCCTTGATTTCTTTCTCCCTCAAACGCCTCCCTACCCCCAGTTTTTTAAAGACAGTGTCTCATTCTGTTGCCCAAGCTGTAATGCAGTGGCACAACCTTGAACTCCTGGGCTCAAGGGATCCTCCCACCTCAGCCTCCCAAGTAGCTGGGACCACAGGCCACACCACCATGCCCTGCTAATTGATTTTTGTAGAGACAAGCTCTCACTTTGTTAGCCAGGCTGGTCTCAAACTCCTGGCCTCAAGCAATCCTCCCACTTTGGCCTCCCAAAGTGCTGGGGTTACAGATATGAGCCACTGGACCTGGCCTCAAAGCCTTTTTATCACTGGTCGTGTCCAGCATGAGCTCTGTCCCCCTTGCAAGCTGACTTGCCCACCCCACCAGCAGCCATGTACCTTTATTGCCTCACAGCCCTGGCCTATAGAAACCCAGGCTCTCCAGGGAGAAGTGACCAGCCAAGGCCCTCCCAACAGGATCCCTGACCTGCTGGGGGAGATCCCAGAGCAGAACCCAAAGGACACAGCCTCCAGCCCTGCACTCCGGCTCTCCCGCTTCCATGGTGGTTTCAGTGCCATCAGGGCCACTCACCACAAGCGTGTATGGAGCCTCCTTCTTTGGCAGCTCCTCACTGGAAGTGGTGGCATCTGCTGAGCTGGGCCCCGTGGGGGATGTGTCAACAAAGCTCTCGTCCACCACCCGGAAGCGGATCTCCTCGCCGGTGTCCATGTAGAGGTCGTGCGCTCCTTCCTCCGTCTCATACTCCCACACCCACACCTGCTCCGCTTCGTCGCTGAGAGGGTCCAGGGTCAAGGCAGCAACCAGATCGTGGGAGGGGCTTCCCTCAGCACCCCCCGACCCCAGGAAAAACCAATCCCAGGGTGAGATCACTGTGGCTGGGAAGTCACAGCAAAAGCAGGTCCCAGCCCCATGTGCAAGGCCTGGGCCAAACAGCGAAGAGCAAGCGCTCTTGGATGCCAGGACCGAGGATGGGGAACACAGGGCCTCCAGTCAGACACCACGGCCAGACGCACATGAATCTCAGAGCACCAGAGCAGGAGGGGATGAGACATGGTCCAAGTCCCACCTCTTAAGACAAGAGCAACCTGGGCCTCCTGCCACGGGGCCCCACATACCCTTTTCATCAAAGCCTTGCAACAGGCTGATGGGCACCCAAGGACTTGCCGTTTCCAAGAGGATATAGTGGGATGGGAGGTCACCTACCCAGTTGGATGACAGTTGGTGAGAGAACCAGCCGCGCTGCGCCAGGTTTTCTAACACATCCTGGAGTTACACACAGACCCAGAGCCGTGCGGCCACCCAGCCAGGGCAGCCCCCCTTGGCCCTCCATCGCCCCCAGCAAAGCCCACACAGGGGAGCCATGGGTTCTCTGGTGGCAGTCCCACTGTTGGGTCCTGCCTCTGTGCCAGGTCCCGTGCTGTGCACTGTGAGTACAGCTGTGACACATCAGAGTCCTTCCTAGTGAGGAGTCTCAGATTCATGGATAGCCCCACAGAAACAGACAACCCCAGTACAGCAAGGTGAGGGGTGGGACAGGGACAACGGAGGCCCAGAAGGAACACATCTCAGCCCATGACCCAGCACACAGGCAAGGCCTCACGTCCCAGGGACCAGCGTAAGCCTCCAGGGCAAGTGATCTTTAAGATGATTGCTGCAGGGAAAACCTAAGCAAAGTGAACCAGAAATGAATGGTGTCCCCCGGGACACCACAGCTCTAATGGTGTGCAGTGTACAACCCAGACAGCCAAGCCTGACAGCCCCGACAAAGACAGGCATGTGGGCATCACTTCACTCCCTGAATGGGAGGCACAGACAGGCTGGTGCCTCTGGAGCAAAAGCACAGGCTGGGGGCAGGCACGGAGGCCAGTGGCATCAGGTTACAGGACCCAAAGGCCACCCTAAAGAGTGGGGACCTTCCTTTGGAGAGGCCTGAGCTCCTCTGTGACAAACCACTTTAACCTTGGGAGGATACAACTTGGCTGGCTGCTGCAGTGACTCTGGGGGGATGAGAATGTCATCGAAGAAGCCTAGAGAGACTGGAAGGAAGGAAGCAGGTGATGGCCTGAGATGAGGGTTCCCAGTAGACACCAAACATTGCAGGGTCTGATGCTTGACAGGCAAGCCCTGCCCTGGGCTGCTCACGAGGTGGATGTCATTATGGAAAACTAGGCCCCTTCCCCGCCTAATGCCTCTGCCTACACCACCCACACAGCCGAGCAGCCCTGGGCAAAGCCCGGAGCACCTAGTCCCCAAAACCTCTGCACACAACAGTGACCAGTGGGCGCTGAAGACTCCCAGTCACTTCCACCAGCTTCAGTGCCTACCCTGAAGCCCAGAGCGATGGCCTGACAGTGAAACCTCACTGCTGACGGAGGTCCTCACACAACACACGAGAGGGAGGGTGGGCAAGCTTCTCTGACAGCACGGGGAAGGTTCAGCCTCAACACCTGAGCCCTCCCCTGACCATGTGGATGGGCACAGACCTCCTGCCCCCACAGTGTTCCCAAGTCTTGTCTGAGGCATCAGGGCCACGGTTACCGTGCACTCCTTCTGGGCTGCAGCCTTTGATCTTCCCAATCAGAATCTCGTCTAGGAATGGATGAAACACCACGTAGCGAAAATGGACTGGAAATGAAGAAAGCCCATCAGTGACGCTGACTGGGGCCCCAGCGCACTCCCATGTCACCCTCAGGTGCCAGCACACCCGGGGGCCTGTGTGGCTGCTCCATGCCACATCCCCCTGCAGGCCCCAGACCCTCCCCTTGTCTCCTGCAAGTTCACAGCATGGCCCCCACAAGGTGCCAGCAGCAGCTGTCCTAGAATTGGGCACTCCCAAAACTGCCAGGTTACTCACACCTGAGCCCAGACTCTGAGCCATCAGTGGCTCCAAAGTCAATTCCTTTTTTTTTTTTTTTGAGACGGAGTCTCACGCTGTTGCCCAGGCTGGAGTGCAGTGGCGCGATCTCGGCTCACTGCAAGCTCCGCCTCCCGGGTTCCCGCCATTCTCCTGCCTCAGCCTCCTGAGTAGCTGGGACTACAGGCGCCCGCCACCGCGCCCGGCAATTTTTGTATTTTAGTAGAGACGGGTTTCACTGTGGTCTCGATCTCCTGACCTTGTGATCCGCCCGCCTCGGCCTCCCAAAGTGCTGGGATTACAGGCTTGAGCCACCGCGCCCGGCCTCCAAAGTCAATTTCAACCTCCCTTCAGGCTCTCCTTCAGCTCCTAAAAAGGGCAGAAGCAACTGGTAAAGAAAGCAGGGTTTGAAGCTGGGCACAGTGGCTCACGCCTGTAATCCCTGCACTTTGGGAGGCTGAGGTGGGCAGATCACGAGGTCAGGAGATCAAGACCATCCTGGCTAACACAGTGAAACCCCATCTGAACTAAAAATACAAAAAAATTAGCCGGGTGCGGTGGCGGGCGCCTGTAGAGTCCCCGCTACTCGGGAGGCTGAGGCAGGAGAATGGTGTGAACCTGGGAGGTGGAGCTTGCAGTGAGCCGAGATCACGCCACTGCACTCCAGCCCGGGCGACAGAGCGAGACTCCATCTCAAAAAAAAAAAAGGATGAGTCTAAAGAACCATCAAGAGGAAGGAAGCTGGGGTGGTGGTTCATGCCTGTAATCCCAGCACTTTGGGAGGCCGAGGCGGGCGGATCATGAGGTCAGGAGATTGAGACCATCCTGACTAACACGGTGAAACCTCGTCTCTACTAAAAATGCAAAAAATTAGCCGGGCGTGGCGGCAGGTGCCTGTAGTCCCAGCTGCTTGGGAGGCTGAAGCAGGAGAATGGCATGAACGCGGGAGGTGGAGCTTGCAGTGAGCCGAGATTGCGCCACTGAACTCCAGCCTGGGCGACTGAGCGAGACTCCATCTCAAAAATAATAATAATAATAACCCAAAAATTATTAGCTAGGCAGGCCTGGCATGGTGGCTCATGCCTGTAATCCCAGTACTTTCGGAGGCCAAGGCAGGCGGACCACCTCAGGTGAGGAGTTCAGCACCAGCCTGACCAACATGGAGAAACCCCGTCTCTACTAAAAATACAAAATTAGCTGGGCATGGTGGTGCATGCCTGTAATCCCAGCTACTGGGGAGGCTGAGGCAGGAGAATCACTTGAACCCGGGAGGCCGAGGTTGCAGTGAGCTGAGATCGAACCACTGTACTCCACTTGGGTGACAAAGCGAGACTGCATCTCAAAAAAAAAAAAAAAAAAGCTGGGCATGGTGGCAGGCACCTGTAATCCCAGCTACTCAGAAGGCTGAGGTACCAGAATTATTTGAACCTAGGAGGCAGAGGTTGCAGTGAGTAACCCTGTCACTGCCTTCAAAAAATTTTTTTTAAAAAGTAGCACAGTGGTTTCCAGGTGCTGGCGGGGTGAGCAATGGGGAATTAGTGTTAAATGGCTAAGGAGCTCCAGTCTGGGATGATGAAAAAGTTTTTCGTTGTTGTGTTTTTTTGTTGAGACAGGGTTTCACTGTCGCCCAGGTTGGAGTGCAGTGGCACCATCATGGCTCACTGTAGCTTCAAACTCCCAGGCTCAAGTGATCCTCCCGTCTCAACCTCTCAAGTAGCTGAGACTACAGGAACATGTCATCATGCCCAACTCATTTTTTGTATTTATTTATTTATTTGAGATGGAGTTTCGCTCTTTTTTTCCAGGCTGGAATGCAATGGCGCGATCCTGGCTCACTGCAACCTCCGCCTCCCGGGTTCAAGCAATTCTCTGCCTCAGCCTCCTGAGTAGCTGCGATTACAGGTGCCCACCACCATGCTCAGCTGATTTTTGCATTTTTTTAGAGACAGGGTTTTACCATATTGCCCAGGCTAGTCTCAAACTCCTGGATTCAAGTGATCAGACTCCCAAAGTGCTGGGATTACAGGCACGAGCCGCCACATCTGCCCTATGAAAAAGTTCTGGAGGTGGGCCGAGTGCAGTGGTTCACGCCTATAATCCCAGCACTCTGGGAGGCTGAGGCAGGAGGATCACAAGGTCAGGAGATTGAGACCATCCTGGCTAACACGATGAAACCCCATCTCTACTAAAAATACAAAAAATAATTAGCTGGGCGTGGTGGCCGGCGCCTGTGGTCCCAGCTACTTGGGAGGTTGAGGCAGGAGAATGGCGTGAACCCGGGAGGCGGAGCTGGCAGTGAGCCGAGATGGCACCACTGCACTCTAGCCTGGGCGACAGAGCAAGACTCCGTCTCAAAAAAAATAAAACAAGAATATGAATGTGCCTAATGCCACTGACCTGTACACTTAAAATGTTTAAATTGGTAAATTTCATGTTATGTATATTTTACAATAGAAAAAAATGAAACAAAAAAAAAGAAAAAAAAAGAAAAAATGAAACAAATGATAAACCTGTTAAAAAAGGCAAAAAAAAAAACAAAAACAAAAACAGGCCAGGCATGGTGGCTCACGCCTATAATCCCAACACTTTGGGAAGCCAAGGCAGGCCGATTGCCTGAGGTCAGGAGTTCAAGACTATCCTGGCGAACATGGTGAAACCCCATTTCTACTACAAATACAAAATTTAGCTAGGTGTGGTGGTGGGCACCTGTAATCTCAGCTACTCGGGAGGCTGAGGCAGGAGAATGGCTTGAACCCGGGAGGCAGAGAGGCTGCAGTGAGCCAAGATCGTGCCACTGCACTCCAGCCTGGGCAACAGAGAAGACTCTGTCTCAAAAAAAAAAGAAAAGAAAAAAAGGTGGGGGGTGTCTCTGCACCGACTCTGGCTGAGGAAGCTGCCTGATTTGCAAATCAATAAAATATTTTAAAATGTTAAAAAATAGGCTGGGCGCGGTGGCTCACGCCTGTAATCCCAGCACTTTGGGAAGCCGAGGCAGGCAGATCACGAGGTCAGGAGATCGAGACCATCCTGGCTAATACGGTGAAACCCCGTCTCTACTGAAAATACAAAACAAAGCCGGGCGCGGTGGCTCACGCCTGTAATCCCAGCACTTTGGGAGGCCTAGGCGGGCGGATCACAAGGTCAGGAGATCGAGACCACGGTGAAACCCCGTCTCTACTAAAAATACAAAAAATGAGCCGGGCGCAGTGGCGGGCGCCTGTAGTCCCAGCTACTCGGGAGGCTGGGGCAGGAGAATGGCGTGAACCCAGGAGGCGGAGCTTGCAGTGAGCCAGGATCGCGCCACTGCACTCCAGCTTGGGCGACAGAGCAAGACTCCGTCTCAAAAAAAAAAAAAAAAAAAAAAAAAGAAAATATAAAACATTAGCCAGGCATGGTGGTGGGCGCCTGTAGTCCCAGCTTCTAGGAAGGCTGAGACAGAAGAATGGCGTGAACCCGGGAGGCGGAGCTTGCAGTGAGCAGAGATGGCGCCACTGCTCTCCAGCCCAGGTGACAGAGTGAGACTCCGTCTCAAAAAAAAAAAAAAAAAAAAAAAAGTTAAAAAATAAATAACTAAAGGTGGCCACAAAGGAGCACTGCTCTGGAGCTGAGAGCAGGGCCCCCAATCAGAATGGGGCAGGCGGGGGCAGGGTACAGCAGGTCCCAGGCTGGGAGGGTGTGGAGAACAGGGGCTGGCACCAAATAACGAGGGGTAGACTTAGCCAATGGGGGTCAGGGTCCCATGCCACAAAGGCCATCATCTGTGAGCACGCCCTACGTGCCCGGCACTAGACAAAAGCTTCGCTCAGATTTGCTCGTTGACTCCTCACAGATATTTAATGAGGGAGGAAGGTTCTATTACTGTCATTATACTGTGTGCACAGATAGGGAAACCGAGTCTCAGAGAGGTAGAGCAACCGCTCCCAAGGCCCAAGCAAATAAATATTTCTCTGAACAAAGGTGAAGGCACAGCATGACCTGGTGCTGAGCCCTTCCAGCACTGGCTTGGTGACAGCCCTGAGTGAGGCGGCAGGGTTGCAGGAGTGGGAGCAGTGGGAACAGGGCCTGGGGTCAGGCGTCAGCCTCAAAGCATGGCAATTGGTTCCCACAACAAAAATCACAGCTCAGCCTGCATGGTGCTCAACGGGAGTTTTATAGCTGCAGGGTTAACCCCATTGTACAGAGGAGGAAACTCAGGCTGAGAGAGGCGGAGGTACCCACCCAAGGTCCCCATCCAGGAGGCCAGAGCCAGAATTAATTCAAATCTAGGTCCTTGTGATCACTCCATGCCTCCCACCTGATTCCCAAGAAAACAGAGACCCAGGACAGATGAGGGTGGGGGCTAATAAAAGTCAGCAGTAGAAATCTTCCAATTGAATAGACAGAATTTCCTCCGACTTTTTTTTTTTTTTTTTGAGACAGAGTCTCTCTCTGTCACCCAAACTGGAGTGCAGTGGCGTGTTCTTGGCCTCGTAGGTTCAAGTGATTCTCCTGCCTCCACCTCCACCTCCCAGGGAGCTGAGATTACCAGCACGCACACCACCATACCTGGCTAATTTGGTTTTTTTTTTGAGATGCAGTCTTGCCCTGTCACCTAGCCTGGAGTGCAGCGGCACAATCTCGGTTCACTGCAACCTCTGCCTCCCAGGTTCAAGCAATTCTCCTGCCTCAGCCTCCTGAGTAGCTGGGATTACAGACATATGCCACTTCACCCAGCTAATTGTTTTGTTTTTTTTTTTTTGAGACAGTCTCATTCTGTCACCCAGGCTGGAGTGCAGTGGCCGGATCTCAGCTCACTGCAAGCTCCGCCTCTCGGGTTCACGCCATTCTCCTGCCTCAGCCTCCCAAGTAGCTGGGACTACAGGCACCTATCGCCACACCCGGTTAATTTTTTGTATTTTTAGTAGAGATGGGATTTTACCATGCTAAGCCAGGATGGTCTCAATCTCTTGACCTCGTGATCTGCCCGCCTCGCCTCCCATAGTGCTGGGATTACAGGCCTGAGCCACCGTGCCTGGCCCAATTTTTGCATTTTTAGTAAAGATGGGTTTCACCATGTTGGTCAGGTTGGTCTCGAACTCCTGACCTCATGATCCGCCCACCTCAGCCTCCCAAAGTGCTGGGATTACAGGCGTGAGCCACCATGTCCGGCTTTTTTTTTTTAATTTTTAGTAGAGACGAGATTTTGCCACGTTGGCCAGGCTGGTCTTGAATTCCTAACCTCAGGTGAAACACCCACCTTGGCTTCCCGAAGTGCTGGGATTACAGGCATGAGCCGCCACACCCGGCCCCAGTGTGACTTTTTTCTCCAAGTTTTTCTGCAATTTCTAGTACCTATTACCACTTGTCTCCTGGACAACCAAGGCCCCTGTCCAAATGCGGAGACTGGGCTCAGCTTGGCCTCCTTCTC